TAACACACCATTGTAAAGCAATTATACCCCAATAAAGGTGTTAAAAAAAAAAAACTGGTTTCTTCATCCTCAACTCTGAGTCACTTTCCTACCCACTCTCCTTTCTCAAATACAATTCTACCTCTACTCAAGGTGATGGGTTTTCAGGGAAGAAGCAGATGAAAGGGGAGCAACAAGAAGCATCTCAAATCCCATACCCCCCGTCGAAGTTATTTCCTATTACATTATAGCCTCCAGAAGTTCCTGGGCCAGAACTGGACTCAAAAATACAAAACTGTCCCAGTAACTGTTCGGTGGGTGGCTTTGTAGGTAAAGCTGCCACAGGTAGCATTGAGCAAAGGCAGCGAAAAAGGGCCACTGAGGAGATCCCTCTCATAAAGCCAACCAAGGAGTGTGATGAGGCCATCGTCATTCATAGAAGGATTCTGTAAGCCAAGGCCAGCTTAACTCAGTTACTATATATACTCAAAAAGAAGAAAGTTTCATTTCTATTATTTCTAGAGCTGAAAATTTCATGGTTATTTCATTCCTATAGACATCATCTTTTAAAAGGATGCATTTTCCAGTGGTCTTGACCACTGCTATTTCTGAGCTCTAGACCTTTGTGGGTAACCACATAACTCACTACACTCACTGACCACGTTCTGCCTTCTTCAGGGACTTATGCACAGAAAAATAGAAGGCAATTCCCTAGTGATTCCTGTCACTATTTCTGAAAAAAGTCAAGTGACTGTTCCTAGACAGAAGATATACACAGCGTGGCTCAAGAACAAATGCCACTTGGAAAACTCAGAGAAACCAACTGTGTTATAGCAGAAGGGCAAGACAGGCAGACTTTTCAGCTACAGATTCCACCAGACTGGAGTCTGGTGTTTTTGTTTTTTAAAACCTTTTCTCCATGACTACACCTTACTTTTTTTTACTACCAGTACTTCTCCAAGGTCTCTCAATATTTATTAATGTTAATAACCTCAAATGTCTGTGATAGTAAGTGTACCTTTTCTAATTGCTGGGTTTTGGCAATGTGACGTACTGAAATTCAGAATTCAAAAGCTACAAAAGGTATACAGTGCCAAGTTTCCCTTTCATACCTGTGTCTAGGTACCAAATTTTTCACCTTGGAAGCAACTAAACTGGTATCAGGTTTTTAAAAAATACTTCTAGACCTACTTAATGCATGTCCAATTAATTATTAAATATATTTTCATCTAACCTATTTTACACAAATGCTAGTATTCTGCACATACTGTTTAGCGCTTCTTTTTTCCCACTTAACAACATATTTTGAAGAACATTCCATTTCCTTACAGAAATGTTCTCATTCTCTAATATAGCTGCATAGTATTCTATAGTACTCCAAGTTCTATAACCATAACTTATTTAACCTAACCTATCCCATATAGATGACATATAGGTTGTTTCTAACATTATTATTATAAACATTGCTGCAATGATTAAAGAATCTTTTATTTTTATCATTTTACGCATATGTGAGTTTATCTATAGGATATACTCCCAGAAGTGGGATTGCTGAGTGAAAGATACATATTTGTCCTTTTGATAAACAATGCTAACTGATCCTTTGCAGAAGTTGTGACACTTTACAGCTCTGCCAGCAATGCGTAAGTGCCTGCTTTCCCACGCTTACAACAGTGCTGTCAGAGTTTGTTCTTTGCCAACCTGATATGTGAGACTGTCTATGCATATATGTGTGTGTGTATGATTTGTATTCTATACATTTTAGTATCTTTTTAAGAACCAGTTATATTTCCTTTCCAGTAAACTGATCATATCCTTTGCTTTCTCTTCTATTGAACTATTGGTCCTTTTTATTACTGATTTGTAAGAACTCCATATATTAATGAAATTAGCCCTCTGACTGGAAGAGCTGCAATAGCTGTCCTAATCTGTTGATTGCCTTTGCTTAACACGGTGCTCATCATGCATAATTTTCATATTTTTAGGCAGTATCATTTAACAACTTTTTAATGGCTTCGGAGTTTCGTGTCATAGTTGGAAAAAAGAACAAAAATATGTTCAAGAGTTAAGCTGTTCTCCAAGGTATCTTTCCCCTCTTCATCTCAGTGATCCTTAAGTTCTTCCAAACTGATGGAAAAGTTAAACATGTAAATATGCTGACTCTTGGTCTAGACTTCCAATTCTACTAAAACTCTTCAGGGTAGTAGTAAGAGACAGAGAAATCTTTGATTTTTTATTTAATCATTTAGCACTGAAAGAACAGTCTACATATTTTCACTTGATTTTTAACTAAAAAAAACCAAAAAAAGCTTAAGGAATCACTTTTAAATCTTACCAACGGTAATTATCCGCAGCAGGGCTACCATCCACTTCTTGTTAACCAATTGCCAGACAGGAGTAATTGTGAGGAATAATGGAGAAAGAAATGCTATGGCAAAAGCTTCAAGCCCAGTGAGTTCTAGTGTTTGCAGGGGAAAGTAATAGATCATCGGTCCCAGGCCATCACAGAGAGACCAAGAAACATATCCTAGGGAAAACAAAAGTTTTTAAGAGAGAGAGAAAGTATAACTTTCTCATTGTTTCAAACAGTAGCCTTTCCCTCCACTAAAACTCCTCCGGCCGGCGGCCCTCCTTCATGACCCTGGCCTTAACTGGGTTCCAGTAACAGAATTCCTCCCCTTTCCTGTCAGGAATGAGAGCCAGAATGAGAATGGCTCAGCATCCCTTGCTTGTCCCTTTAACCTCGTTCATACCTCCCGTAGGTAGGTAGTCCCTTTATTAAAGGCTTTTCATTTGGACCATCTAGGTTAAATCTGGTTTCCTGTCAGGACCTGATTGGTAAAATTTCCTTAACTAAATCGACCCTTTGAAAATCAAAAAGAGTAACGAACGAACGGCAGAACTCCTTCCTCCCACTCCAGACTACAGTCAAAGGCACGTTAGTTAGGAAATAACCATTTTCTTGTGAGCAAACTATTTTCAACCTAACCCTTAGGAGACAGTGTAGAGTAGTGGAAAACCCAGATTTGACATTACTTTCACAGCTGCCATCTACTGACTGTGCAATCTTCTACAATGATGATAATTAACCAATGGGCAGTTACCATGCGCTAGGCTCTGTGCTAAGTATTCACCCTGATCTTCTCTCTTCCTCTGCATCCTATGAAATTGACACTATTTCTACTCCCCTCTTACAAATGCAAAATCAAACAACAAAAACTCCTTAGACTCAGAAAGTTAAGTAATTGCCTAAGGTCACAAAAGTGGCAAATGGCAGAGTGAACTTAAAACCGAGCGGTCTGGTTCCAAACCATCCTTAACCACCGAAAGCAGTACTTTTAACCACCTCGCAGTTATTAAGATTAAAAAAGATTAAGTACACACAGTACCTAGCACCCTAGGTACTCACTGAATGTAATTCGCTTTACGTCGCGTACTTATGAGATACAGACTGGGCCAAAAAATGAGCCCCGCCCCCCAGCTCAAGCATTACCAGCTCCCAGAAAATCAAGTTCTTAGGAAGGCACCCCTCCCCTTCATCGTGAACAGCGAGATGCTAGCAATCTCCTGAACGTTTGTCTGGGAATTCTGATTTCAACCATACAACTCCGACAATATTACAACAATAATTGTTCTTGGGACTTTTTGCAAAGCTGCTAAGTGAGCACATGGGACTCCAGTTCGACGTTTTCCGCCAAATACTCAAATGTGCAGCCACTACCCAAGGCCACTTGTGAGGGGTCAACCCAGGCGGTAGCCACCGCGCTGAGTGCTCACCTACAGCTACCGGGGGAAACGGGTGCCCCTTTCCTTCTGAAAGGTAAAGTTCGGTGCTGAAATTTATTCAGTTAAACTTAAAGATCACGGGTGAGGGGACTCGGGGTTGGTACCAGCTTCGCGGTTCAAGGCCGACAGGTGAAGAAGTCGGGCCCCTTGGGCGCAACACCAGGGTGGCGTGGGAGCTCTCTCTCTCTCTCAATTCCTCCAGCAGCAGAAGTTGCCAGGGGACGATAAGCATCTCTATTCCGGGCACCAAGCGCGCGTTCCTCCCTCCGGGAGCTCAGCCAACCCGACCGAGCACCGCGGCTCCGGGCAGGGCCGGGGGAGCGGACCGGCGAATGCGCGGTGGGCGGCCTCGGCTTACCCAGGAGGCTCTCCAGGAGCACTTCTCTCCACAGCGAGGGCATGGCCGAGGCCCGGAGCGGCGCCGCCGAGGGAAGCCGCGCGGCCCGCACACCCGCCGCCCTGCGCCGGCCGCCGAGTTCTCCGGGGTCGGCGTCCATGCCTCAGGCTCCGGTCAAGTCTGCCGCCGGCCTCCCGGCCGCCCGCCGACCCGCAAGCCGCGCCCAGGCGAGGGTGGGGCCCGCTGCCCCCTGCCCCCTGCCCCCTGCCCCCGCCCCGTCCCATCCAGCGCCGCCTTCCCGGCCTCACCGCCTCTGCGCGGCCCGCGGTCCCGCGCCACCGCCTCCGCCGACGCCACCGCGCAGCGAGCTGGACCCGGGGGCCTCCGACCTGCCGCCCAGAAGAAACCAGGTGGCCGGGCTCGCCGGCAGAGCGGCCCCGGGGATGGCGCGCTGCGAGCGCCCAAGAGGACTGCATCATTGCAACTCTGCACCCGCGGTGCCCTTTAAACGAGGCCCAGGGGCGCGTTGCGAGGGGAAGGCTTAGACGCAGGTGGGGAGCCTGAGCTGCCAGGGGCTCTAGCGCCTCCGGCGAGCAGGTGCGAACAGGACCTTGGCGTTCCTAAGGCCTGGGCGACGCTCTCGGGCGAGCGGGCACCTGCGATGGCCAGGTGTGCGCTTCTCCTTCTCAGCTTTGGTAGTAAACAAATCGCATTCTGGGAAGGCGGTTGAAAAATTCTAGAGATTACAGAATTTTCTATGGCTTTTAGAGACGCCGCAACACTTGCTCAGGGGAGAGAAAACCAGTGATGGCAGTGGAAGTTCTGCCTTCCTCCACTTTATGGATAATGATCTTTGAGAGTGCCCGTCCCTGAGGAGAAAGGGAGAGACGTTCTAACAATGGAGCGAGTGCTAGGCCAGTTATTTCTCATTCAAATATTACCACACCCCAGGATGTTTTGAGTTTTTTTAGAACCTTCTCAAACAATTTATTTTAATTCGCTTTAATTTTTTTGGAACAGTTTGTCATTTACCACTTTCGGACGGTTTGCTCTGAAATTAAACAAACAATGATGGATTGCCTAAAAGTGTAAAACAGTTAAGAGCAGTTTTGAGCAAAGAGTTCCAGATCGCTTAATTACTTACTAGTACTCATTGTCACCAGATAGAGATCAATTGAATAGAATTGAGAGTCCTGGAATAAACCCTCTCATTTAGGCGCAAATGATTTTCAACAGCTTGCCAAAACAATTACATGAGGGAAGGGGTGGTCTTCTCAACAAATGGATTTAGAACAATTGAAATTCCACAGGAAAAAGGGTAAATCGGACACACACCCCCAAATCTCACACCATATACAAAAATTAACTCAAAATGGATCAAAGACTTAAATGTAAGAGATGAAACTATAAAAATCTTAAAACATAGGAGTAACTCTTCATGACCTTTAGTTAGACTATGGATTCTTAGATACAACAGCAAAAGCACAAATGACAAAAGAAATAATAAATAAATTGGACTTCATCAAAACTAAAAGCTTTTGTGCTTCAAAGGACACAGTTCAAGAAAGTGAAAAGACAATGCACAGGATGGGAGAAAATATTCTATAATTATACATCTGGTAAAGAACTGGTATCTGGAATATATATTTTTAAAAATTACAACTCAGGGACTTCCCTGGTGGCACAGTGGTTAAGAATCTGCCTGCCAATGCAGGGGACACGTGTTTAAGCCCTGGTCCAAGAAGATCCCACATGCCGTGGAGCAACAAAGCCTGTGCACCACAACTACTGAGCCTGCGCTCTAGAGCCTGTGAGCCACAACTACTGAAGCCCACACGCCTAGAGCCTGTGCTCCTCAACAAGAGAGGCCACCGCAATGAGAAGCCCGCGCACCTCAACAAAGAGTAGCCCCCACTCACCACAACTAGAGAAAGCCCGTGCACGGCAACAAAGACCCAATGCAGCCAAAAATTAATAAATAAAAATTATTTTAAAAAATAAATAAAATAAAATAAAATTACAACTCAGTAATACTCACTTTAAAGATGAACAAAGGATTTGATAGGCCTTTTTCCAAAGAACATCTACAAGTAGCCAATAAGCAAAGTATATTCAGGAAAATATATTCAATATCATTTCATTAGGGAAATACAAATCAAAACCACAATGAGATACTACTTCACACTCACTAAGATGGCTATAATCAAAAAAGTCAGATAGGGCTTCCCTGGTGGCGCAGTGGTTGAGAGTCCGCCTGCCGATGCAGGGGACACGGGATCGTGCCCCGGTCCGGGAAGATCCCACATGCCGCGGAGCGGAGGGGTCCGTGAGCCATGGCCGCTGAGCCTGTGCGTCCGGAGCCTGTGCTCCGCAACGCGAGAGGCCACAACAGTGAGAGGCCTGCGTACCACAAAAAAAAAAAAAAAAAAAACATTACAAGTTGTAGATTTGCCATCTGTACCTATAAAATAGTTAACAAGGAATTTTCCTTGTATCTATCTGAAGTCAATTTAACTCAGGGTCCTGTAAGAGTGGTGACCAAGACTATTCATGTCATCCCCACAGAAGACAACCAAGCTGTGTTCCTGCAGCAGCAGAGCAGGGAGTGCCTGTTCTCAGAGACAAAAACAATTGCTGTGGCCTGGTCCACTAGGGTTTCCCAAAGAGTTGAAAGGGAATCAATCCAGAGTAAAGAAGATATGCTTGAGTGAACATTTTCAATACAGTAAAAATAGAATAAGAAAGTCTTGAGAGACATTGAGTTCCTGTTCTAATGTAAGCATTAGGTTCTTTTTCATTTAGACTTGTACTCTTAGCACAAGTTAAAAACACAAGGGCCTACTTAGAAGACAGGCCTGGAAAATCAAGGATCATTCAGCAGTTTTTGGATTTATATATTTTTATTTATTCATTCTCACACTTCCTAGGAGCCCTCTGTGTGGGAAGCTGAGTGCGCAGAGATGATCAAGACATAGTCCCAGCAAGGAGGAGCTCTTGGCCCACGGGTGGAGTCTGAAGTGCTCAAGTAATCTCAACCCAGCATGAAAAGTGCTACGTGAAGGCCTGAACTGGGGGCGCTTGGGGCCCCTGCAGGAGGGAGTTGGCCTGGGTGCCCTGAGAGACAGGGGTGTTATGGTCTATTTACTCACGGCTACTGTGGTGCTTGTTTATCTGCCTAAGCCTCCACTTTCCCACCTGCAAAGTGAAGCTAATTATAGTAAGGAATGATTGCATCTGTGCACTAGCTGGCCGGACTTGAAAGAAACACAGATCATACTCCTGCTGGTGAGTTAACTCCCTTGGAAGACTGTGACCCAATATATAAATTTCTGGAAGGAGTTGCCTAAATACAAAATTTCCATTAGTGTTACCAGATTTTTTATTCACTTATTCATCCCATAAACATTTATTTAACTTCTAGCCACCATGCTTTTTTAACTGGAATACACAGCAGGGGTGAGCAGCGGTGGATCAGAGGATATATAGACTCAGAAATTCAATATGGCACATCTTTTCAAAGCATTAAGTTTACCTAGTATAAGCAGTTCATAACATTTTCATGTTAAAACAAACAGGGGTATGTTACAGACAGGATTGTAAAATGCATACAAAGTTTTAGGATAAAGGTTTGGGGGCTCATGGTAGACTTCTTTGATTTATGTCTTCCAGAATTCACGGGGAATGTGTTCCTTCTCTTCTGCCATTAACTGAACATCGGTTGTTAAATAAGTATCTTAGAAGATACAAAACATATATCCCTCCAAAAGTATATAATCTGAACTGAAACAAGATACATGAACAAATGAATCAAGTAGATATCCATACGTGTGTCTTTTTTGAGAAGTATAAGAAATTGCTTCTGTGTCTGTGAAGTCATTATATGTTAGACTCCAGCCATGACAGAACTGTGAGAAACCAATTCAGGGTCCCCACTAGAGAAAACTGGAGAAAAAAATAAAATTCTGCAGGTAACTCACTAAGGAAACAGATTCAGAAACAGCAAAGGATGGGTCTTTCTTACACAGAGCAAAAGCTCACATCTGCTAAGGTGACCAAGGCAGGTGGGCTTGGGAGGATGCAGAAGATTACAAAGGGCAGGAATTGGGGGAAGGCCATTCCAGGTAAATGCAGTGACATCTAGAAAAGGAACAAAGTCAGGAAAAGTGAAGTTGTATTTGGGGTTCAGGGAGTAATCATTTGGTCTAAAACAGAAGTTTCCCCAAACATACCAGTGCGGCCTAATGAAGGGACCTTGAAACCAAGGACAAAGAATGTGAAACGTACCTGCCACTTAGGACACGCTCAAGTGAACCTTACTGACTTAACACAAACAGGACGAGGCGTGTGTGATGATGTACTCTACAGCGTCCTGGCAAGTTAAAACGAGTTCAGCACCGGAGTCTGCTTGAAATGTTTCCAGTTTGCTCCCTCCTCCTCTTTCCTCACCTCCCTGTCTATTCTCTCCCATTCCAATAGGCAAACAGAAAACATTCTGCAGTACTACCCACTCCATTATATGCAATTAAGTCAGGAGTATTCCTGTGGGATGACTCTCCAAAGGTGGAATAATTTATGCGGGTAGATAAATTGGGAAAGTGTTGGGATCGCCCAGTTTTGGGTGTGTATTAATTTTTGTATTAATTTGGGTGTGTAATACAATACACAAGTTTCTATTAATTTTTACATCTTCATAGTTGCTAGGTGTCCTGGGAAGGAACCGTGTCTTGATTAGCTTAGTTCCCGTGTCTTGGCACATAGTGTAAGATCTGAGGGAGTCAGCCACAGGCAGGCCTAGAAAACCACAGGCCTCACCCCACCAGGCTGAGTTTTTACTGGGTGGTCAATTGCAGGACATGACACGTGCTTTCTGCAGTGATCCCAGAGAGAAAAGGAGGAGGACCTGAGGGTTGTATGCTAACAACTCCTTCCCAAACCACCAGCATCTCCTGGGGGGTAATTGGAGTAAGGTGGCGTGAGAGGACAGGTGTGTTATCCTAAAACGTGTCCCTAGAGGCCAAGACGTCTGTGCCATATGTGGCATTACTAACCATGTGTGCACTGGGTGGTCTATGTTAAGGGGGCCTT